GTTTTAACATTTTATGACATCAAGAGTGTGTCGATAAGACGACATACAACTCAAAACTGCGCGCAAAATGTTAAACTTACGGGTCAAAGTCTAGTCCATATCTTTGCTGCGTCTGATCAATCTTCTTTATAAGACCATCCATATATGACCTGCAAACAGAAAATTATTATATTGACAAGAAATAACTAACTTGTGATTTGTACTTACTTGACTTCGCCCTTAAAGTCATCGCTGCAATCTTTGAAGACTTCGCCATCTAATATTTTGTTGACACGTTGACGTATCATTTGAGGAGGCATTGGTCGCTCATGGCGCATCACGTGATTACACTGTAAGATTGACAGATCATGATAAGCGCGTTCATACAGGCCGCCCAACTATTGCTTGAGAGAAGGAAAAAACGAATGCGCAAGCTTTTACGCTAAGTAAAAAACTAGTCTGTCACAGACTAGTTTTTCATCTCGCGAGGCACGGGATCACTGACGTTATACCACAGGTAACCCGCATTTTGCTTAAAGCGCACGCCGATAGCAGTACGAAAAGCGTGCGCATTGGTTTTTTCCTTCTTTCAAGCAATAGTTGGGCGGCCTACGGTTCATACCGAGCCCGCCATAAGTACAGACAGAGACATAACAAAACTATCTTATTGCTTCTGTTGAAAAACTAAGAGTGTGAACCTTGCTTCATGTTTATGTCGACTGCGAACAACCTTCTGCTTTTGTTTGTGCTTATGTCTGTGTGTGAACACCCCTTACGCTTACGCTTATGTAAAACAATAACAAGTGTGAAGCAAAGGAGCAACACAATCATATACATTATCCTCATGCTTATGTCAAAGGTGAACCAGCTCCTGGTGCTGCTTATGTTGGAGTCTGACCAGCTCTAAGAAAGCAAATAGAGCGGATTTCGTCTGACTGCTGTGCAAAGGTATGGATCACGCCACGGTCACGGAACCTCGCCTACTTCGTGACGCCAAATGAAAATAGTGACTTAAGAAAACATCACCGTCATGACAAGTTACGATAACTAAACGCCGCGAAAGTGGCGGGTTTTTTTGTTTTTGTTTTTTGCATAGTCATACGAAATTCGCTCTACTAGGTCTAAATGGATAAGTTGTTTGACAGTTAGGATGTTGCTTTGCYATATCAACATCGTTATTAATAATCGCTATCATTACTATCATCAGAAGCACCTGTCAATCATCACCATGACAACTACCTGTACATGACTAAACACCCGTGCGAAATCCAAAGGTTTGTCTTTCCCTTCCATGTCAGTAGGATCCAGTCCATCGCCGCCATATTTAAACTGTACAATGTCRCCGACTGAATTACGAACAGTGTGGTCATAATGACAGCAAAGATCTTCTAAAGACTGTAAAACAAATGAAATAAAAATGAATGAATGGACAAATAATGAATAATAAGTTTGAGCAGTATATTATTATTCTGTTAAAGTCATTGTTTTTAATGATATAGTAATAATATATGGATCTACCCGACTCCGACCGAAGTCCCCTCCGGCACGAAGTGGCAGATTATTTGAAGGTTCGGTACCCAGTCTTACGACTTCCATATATGGATGTTCATATGCATGGACAGCGTTTTTTTAGTTTATATGAGCCTCACAGCCAATCAGAATTGCCCCGGYTTGTCGCCAAATGAATTCTTTCAACAGTTCATAAATATTCAATGACTTAGCATAGTATCATTCGTGGATCATTACCTTCACAAGACGTCGCTGCATGTAGCCTGTTTCTGCTGTTTTGACAGCTGTATCTACAAGACCTACAAAAAAAACATAATGAAAGAGCAAATCAAACRACTCAACGAATCTTTAAGGCATTTTTTACACTTTCGGTTTACACTTGCGATTTTTGTAGCGCGATTGCGCTCGATAATCGCTTAAGTTTCGAAAATATGCTCGATATTTAGCTGCAACTCGCGTCGATCGAGAATCACAGGGCTGTTTTGAAGCCGTGCCTACACACAAGCGATTTTTCGCTTGCGCAGGCGACCCGATTTTTGGATTTTTGGGTACAATGACAGCTGAACATCGAATTTGAGCTGTTTTTGTACATACAACTCTTTATGGAGATTCAAATGAATGGAAGAACAAATGAAGAAATGAGAAAATGGATRATACCTTCTCGTCCTCCCATTGTATGGAAAAAGAACTCAGTTGGAGTGAGACCTGAGAAAAAACTGTTCTTCACGAAACCTTTTGCTGCTGGTATCTTGGCTGAAAAATAAACAAACAAAAAATTCTTTTTATCATTCTTTAATGAGAATTTGTTGTAGATGGAAAAATAACTTTCTGCATAACACACTTATTGTTCTTTTATTTCTTCCACTGAAGACGGATTTACACGATACGATTGTCGTGTGCGACCGAGTCGATCGTAGGATTTTGAGCCGTAGGTTGCATACGACTGTTGTAGACAAGTCGTAGGGACATTTACAAGTCGGACGCTACATGTCGCACGCGACAATCGTAACGTTTAAATCCACCTATAAACTTACAATGTCGTTTAAAGTGAGGCAGGGAACGATCTTCAAARCCATCAGGGATTCTCTTCCCAGAAATGGCCTGCTGCCCCACACAAGCAATCATCTGAGATATGTTGATGAACGACCCTGAAATCAAGAGAAATAAAAGATATCTGAATATGACAATAATACGTATAGTGGACAGGGACCAGTGCGTATATAGTCCCAATGAGGTACATCATACCACAACCCTTTTCTGAAATAGTATTACACATTGTATTGTAGTCTAGAGCATAGTTATAGAGCTAGTTCACTGAAACATCTTTTGTTCGCGCTGCCAAATATGGTGTGGCTCATACTGAAGCTATACCACAATGAAACATGATTTTGTATTTCAGAAAATATTCATACAAACTGGGTCCATAGTTTGCAAGAAAGGACTCCTCACCTTTCGACCCACAAAGGGCCATATTTAATGGAGTGTTTGTTTTGTGGAGTTCCCTYAGGCATGCTTTACCAGCGTGGTCCCTGATGACTGACAGCTCCTTTAAAATGACGGCCTGGAAATGAAAATAACAGAAATTAAAAGAAAAGAAAATGAGAAACGGTGAATGGGAAAACTTTTCAAACCTCTAGAGTTTCTTCAGCAGAACATCCAGGTTGAGTTTGAAGTTTTCCTTCTTTGAAATCTTGAATAAATCCATCGCACTTTGAATACCTAATAACAAAGATTGTACACCTTATATAACATGAATATTAACTTGACAAAAACTAGCATTTATCACTTTGAAATATAGATAATCAGATCATTTTCAATTAATAACAATTATTAACGATCACTAATTATTAATAATCATTACAAATTATTAATAACTATTACTTAAAAATGATTATTAGAAGATATTGTGCAACATACAGTTAGACTCTTTCGCAGACTGTTTCTGGAAAACTAAACAAACAGCATGCAAAGGAGGCCAGTGAGCAAGTTGCTCCAGACCTTCAAATTTTCCTCTATTGCAAATTCCAGCTATCAAACGTCCACCATCACTTGGTAATGTTTGAATCAGCCAAAGCTTGGGACTTTTAAATTGACATGATTTCGACAATTTTTCAAAATGAACTGTGGATTACCCAGTATTCAGAAGTTCTTCTTTGGCTTGCAGTAAACCCTGACCAGGTGTGACGTCACCAATACCAATAGAGAACCCACGATTACCTACAAATATATGATTGCTATTCAGACAATAACTATGATGATGGATGATTATGATGATGATGATGATGATGATGATGATGATGACAACAGTAATCAGAGAGTTCAATAGACCTAATCGGCGAACGGCGTTGCTAAGTACGTTGCCACCCAATTCAAATCCTGTGGGAAAAAGAACTTTTGTTTCTAAGAATTCAACTGTGAAAGGAAAATACAACGAACAATGAAACTTACTCCCAGGTGGTTTGAATTGGGTTGAAGCCGATTAGGTCTATTCAGGTGTAGATCTATGGGGTCCACACCCAATGCTTGGATACTGTTTTTCAGACAACAATGTGGGGGGAGCATTCAGATTTGTAGTGTTAAAAAAAGACAAAAAATTGGATCTGCAAGACGTTTCTGGCTCATCTGAACAATTTACTTGATTGATTTATAGATTCCAGTACACACTGCGCTATGTCCCCATACTTCAAGGAAAGACTGATACTCACTCAAAAAGAAAGGACATACTCTAGCCAGTCTCCACATGGCATCTGCTGAAACCTAATCATGAAGAAAATAGCTGAATAAATCATGTCTTGATATGTATATCATTTATCAATGATAGCTCATCTACATTTTATTTGATATGCGGTCACTCTGATTCACTACGGCGAACATAATCTTTAAAACTTACGATACAATGTTTTTGTGTGAAGTAATTATGCAATACATGCATCAGGAGTTTAAGAGAACAATGTGTCCGCCATCTTGAAAAGTGGGCCCTGAATCACTGTTTTGCCTTAGAAAAAATTTCATAGTTGCTTAGTCAACTAATCTATCATCATACCGTATACTATATTAAGTTTACAACCTTTTAATTTCTTTAGGAGTTATAATTTTGTGATTTGAGTCTCACTTTTCAAGATGGCGGATGCATTGTTCTCCGAAACTCCTGATGCATGTATAGGGTAATTAATAACTAATGAATATTCACCAATGTGCAAAATAATTTTCTTTTAAAAGAACATCATTATGAAGAAAAAATAACTAATGGCCAAAATGAGTGAGGATCTGACCAACAGCCAATGAGTGAGAAGGAAAGATGTACTTGCCTGAGGTCCATAGTCTCTGAGAAGAACATAAAAGATRCTGTTTTTAGAGCCTGAACCAAGAACAGCCTTGTCAAGAACACCACACATTAGGTCACTGTTATGAATCACCACAACTGTTGACAGAATAACAACAAATGTAAGCAGAAGCCTGGAAGGTAGAAAGTGGTTGGTATTGGAAGAAGACAGCCAGGGCTTGAGTGCCAATCGTTAAGATGCTGTTTCCCTTCAACTTGTCTTACATGTACGTATGTGTGCTGGCAAAACAGTTGCACCACTGGAGAACTGAATGGTGTGTCTGGAAGGTAGAAAGTGGTTGATATTGGAAGAAGATGGCCAGGGCTTGAGTGCCCACCATTTAGATGCTGTTTCTCCTCTTGTCTTACAAGGTGCTTGCAAAACACTTGAACTTCTGGAGAAGTGAATGGTGTGTCTGCAATTCTTTTGCAGGTTGTGTTTGTTATAAGTAGCAAATATTTGCACTGCCATTCATTCCTCCAACAACTTTGTTCAAAGTCAGTTTAGAATGAGAGACAGGTTGGAGAGAATTGTACATATTATGCCTTTAGCTGAGACTATCAAATATTAATTGTCATGAAAGTTGTGTGGTTTTTAACCTGGTAATAAATTTATACAGGGTGGGTTTCAGAATACAAGAGATTGTAAATATAACATTATATATTATAGTTTAAAGACAGTGCAACAACCCCCTGCCAGCTGACCACCACTACCCACCCCTCCCCCACCACAGCATGAGGTAAATACATGTACTAGACAGATTATTGTAAAACTTACAAGAGTCATTGTGGCACAAGTCTTCATTAGANGAGGGAAGGGACGAATGAGTAGATGAAGGGAGGGAAGAAGGGGATGATGGAAGAAAGGAAGGAAGATAGGAAGGGATGACTGAATGTATGAAGGGACAAAGGGAGAAAAGATGGATGGAAACAAGGGAGAAAGAAAAGAAGGGATGAATGAATGAATGACTGATAAAAATGAAATAATGATGGATGAATGACTTGGTGAAATAAGAAATATAGTACAATGAACTAAGAGCATACATATAAAATGAAATGTGAGTGAGTACCTTTAAAATAGCAGGAGGTGGCAGGTCAATCACTGTTGTCAAGTCTCTACCAGCAACCATGATRCTACACAACTGGGATATTTGACTGCGATCAAGGAATACATCCTTGTATGTCATAAGATATGCCCCTATCAAGTTAAATGAGTACATTATGTAACTACGTATACATATACATTTGAAAATGTGAAAACAGCAGAAACTGTTGCATGGCGACTTCAATTGCCCGTTCTGAAATTCAAAAAGGAACTGGTGACTAGTCACAAACTTGATACAGTTTGAAACAATCAAAAACCAGACACCAGGACAAGAAAGACCATACTAAAATTAGTAAAGCTTCTGAGTTTGAGAGTATTTGGATTAATAATTAGAGTTTCAAGTATTTTAAATTACAAAGAATGTATGGAGCACTTGAGCACCGTCCCCAAAAACCATACATTCTCTCTTCATTTTTACAAATTTGAAAACATTCCTACTCGGCGGGTATTCAACCAAATAAACTCAAACTTGACAAGAACACTTATTTTAGTGTCATGGTCTTTCATGTGGTGAGGTTCAGTTTTTGATGAATGCAATATTTTCACACTCGTTCCAAGTCTCCTTTTGAATTTTGGAATGGCCAATGTTCAAATTTAAAGAAATTGTTAGAATGTGTACGTCTTTCTGTGACTTTGAAGCGGAGCTTGCTGCAAATCAGCCAATGACTAAATGACCCTTTAGATTGAAGGGAAAGAACAAAATCAAAACAAACTTYSAACCAAAGAAGTYRTGCTGMAATGATTTTCGCTGTTCACTAATGATCTAAATAATGGCATGTAATCAATTAAATCTAGCAGCATACATTAACGCATACGGAAGTACGTTTTCTTTGGTAAGAACATGTCTCATACCTGTAATAAAATCCTGGATTGCTGCAATCAATGGTTCACCATTTCKTGGGGTTACAAGATTGTTCTTTACCTTAAAAAATATATTGAAAAAAATGTTTTGCTATTTCTCTCAGAATGTAATGTACTGCAGGCTTAACCCAATGCAATATTAGAGACTGTTGATACTCACCCCCATAAGTTCTATTGCCTCTGCCTTTGCTTCTTCTGTTTGTGGCAGATGGAGATTCATTTCATCTCCATCAAAGTCAGCATTGTAAGGCGTACAGACACATTCATTGAACCTGAATGTACGRTGAGGACGGACGGTCGCCTAACAACAAACAAAAATCACAATTGAATACTGTGATGTGCTTTATTGACCAACTGAAAATCTCAACACGACAATCGACTCATGATTAACATACGTAATGAGACATAATGCTCAGTTTGTGAAGCGACGGTTGTCGATTGAACARGACAATATCACCRTCAATCAAGTGTCTTTCTACAACATCGCCAATCTTCAATTGCTTGGCTATCAGCTTTCTGTTGCCATACTTCAAAAATTTCTTGATGTTGGTTTCTCGTTGCTGGATAAAGTTTGCTCCTGGATGTTGATCTGTACCRTTTAAAACTAATTTCTTCATAAGYGCCATATTGGAYGAYGTTACCCKTTCAGGATAAGTTAATATTTTGGCTACATGGATTGGAACTGCAACCTTAAAAAGCAATAATACAAAAATATTAAAAGTTTGAAAATAAAGTATTTTTGTATGATAAACTCAAAATATTTCTTTACCTGGTCTATCCTTAGATTAGGATCAGGTGATATCACAGTCCGACCAGAGAAGTCAACTCTCTTTCCAGACAGGTTTCCACGGAAACGTCCTTGTTTGCCCTTAAGTCTTTGAACGAATCCTCTAGTCCCTTTCTTGGGCTGCATGTTGAGKGGAATACCAGACATTTCACTGTTAATGTACAGAGAACACTGAAGCTGCAAGAAATCCCAATCTTCCTGTACATCATAAAAATAGCACAAATTGGAATTAGTGTAATACTAACAGTTGTATCCTAACAGTTCATGCATTCAAAATACACAATGCTTAATTGTGACTACACAATCAATCAATCCATCAGTCTATCAGCTAGTTAACCAACCAATCGTTTGAACTGCCAATCATTAGTTGACCAATCACTCAATCAGTCAATCAACCAATAGCCGACTTGCGAATTATGCATCAATAGTAACATACAAAGGAATCAAGACGAGGCGCCATGCTTTTTTGTGAAAAATCTATTGTCTTTAGCACGGCGCCTCGTCTTGATTCCTTTGTATGTGACTATTGATGTGTAATTCGCAAGTCGGCTATTGACCAATCAATCAATCAGCAAATCAATTGATCAACCATTCAAACAATCAATCAATCAATCAATCAATCAATCAGTCAAGTAACAGTTGAGCAAAAAGATCAATCAGTCAGTCAATCTCCCTATCAATTTGTCTAAATGTCAATTCATATTTTGACTTACCATAATCATCTGCACCTTGGCCCCTATTGCTCTGTGTTTACGGATGACATCATTTAGAAATACAATCTCTGTCAGCTTCATAGTCACATCATCTTCATTGCTTCCACTTGCCAGGTCACTAACAACAGAAGGTCTGATGCACACCGGAGGAACAAGAATACGCGTGAAAATCAAATCTTTTGGATGACTGAGACCTGGGCGAAGCATCAACAATGGACAGTCCTTYTCGGGGATTTGTTTGAATATATCAAGCACTCTTAATGGGTTAAGCACCTCCTATGACATGAAAAAAAGAAGTCTCAAGTTAGTTCATTGGCTCGCAAATAAAAAAAATCATTATTACTATAATACATTTAAATTGACTATTATCAAATTCAAATTCAGGTAAAAAACATTTGGAAATCATTGTTGGATCGAAGTGTTCCATTTTTGCTGAGGGAGGAAAAACCAGAGAACTTGGAGAAAAAGCAAACTTGGAGAATTCAAGCCACATATTATCCCAATTCAGAATAGAATCCGAAACCACAGCAGTGACAGGTTTGCTCGGTCACCCTTGCTTCCCCATAACAATTGACACTGTGTACTGACCTGTGCTTTATGGACAAAACCAACAAGCTCTTTGTTGTGCTCCATGGCTGCTTCAAAAGAGCTRTGAAACTCTGAAATCTCTGGATCAAGTATCTTTTTTGTTGACTTGTATTTCTCATGTATAATCTTCATCAATCCTGCTTTCCTCACAAAACCTAAATGGAAACAATACATTCATAATTTACATAATCACAACGATCATTGTCAATATACAGTATATACTAGCGATATTTCAAAAAACAACTTAATCAGTGCAATTACTGTAGCTATTGTTATTTGAAGGTCACTGTTCAGGATCAAGAATAAGGAAATATTACTTTTGTTGCAGTGGATATTGTTGCTGTTGGAGTTGTTGCTAGTGTTGCTGCTGCTGGCGTTGTTGTTGCTACATTTGTTGTTGTTAGCTACTGTTATCATAATTTTAACTTTTGCCTGTTGTTAAGTTATTGTTGTATTTTTGTTGTTGTTGCTGCTGTTGCTGCTATTAGTGTTGCTGCTATTGTTGTTGTTGTTGCAGTTGTTGTTGTTGTTGTTACTGTTACTATTGTAGTAGCTTTTGGTTGTTGTTAAGTTTTTGTTGTATAGTTGTTGTTGTTGCTGGTGTTATGTTGATGTCACCAGTGTTGTCACTGTTGCTGCTGCTGCTATTGTTATTATTGTAGCT